TTATCTGTAAAACCTTATAGTTTTACATAGCACTTCCAGGCTGTTACCTGTGACACGCTTTAAAAAATAAATTATGCAGGTGATCATAAGGAGAAATTTTCACTTTGAGGTCAACGAAGATGCACAAAGTTTTACTGTGAATGGAGGGGGGGGGGGGGGGGCTACTTACTAGCTACCTTGCAGAAATGTGCAACATAAATGGTTTTACTCCAAATAGGTTGCTTAATTCTTACTTGTGTGAATTTTGTTACAGCAAGCAAGAAGTTTTCCACTTTCAGTTTTGTGCAAATGCATTCAATTATTTGTGAAATACAAACAACATTGTGTTGTTCTGCAGTCTGTTTTCCTGTTGGTAGCATTTTTGGCATTATGACATAAACAAAGTTGTTTCGTAAGTGGGATTCCACTGCAAACCCGTTCTGATTTTACTTTTTTCAAATACCTTTAGTGGAGTTATGAATACAATCTCCACTCATCAATACCAAACATAGAGAAGATTTTCAATATTAATGACCACGAGGAGCGTGTCATATTAAGCCATTCCAAACAACTGTTCCCAATTCTTCACCAGCATGGTGGAAGAACGGATTTTTTCACTAGATCTTCACAAAATAATTCTTCATTCCAATTTCATGGATTAGATGACGCTGACACGACATGAGTAGACAAAGAGCAAGTTTCAATGCACATTCAATACTGAAAAAAACACAACTGGTTTAAAAAAGTATAGTTAATAAGGATAAAAAAAGGCATCATGCGAACAGCAGACACATGTAAAAATAAGATCAAAGGATAGTGATGCAAGTTCGTTTGCTGTTATCTTTTTAACAAATTTTGAGTTCGGCTCTTAGACAAATGTGATTCTCCCATTCTATCGGGTGAATTTTGATGTAACGAGCAACAATCGGAGGTTTGAATTCATTTTTCACCTTGCTTTTGCCGTCTTTGTTTGCTTCAAACTCCTATAATAAGAAACAATATTTTGCTAACAGTTTTATGATAAAAGAAAGCCAAAACTTTTACAATCTCAAATACATGCAATAAAAATCGAAAGATGACTATCAGGATGTGACACCACAGTGTCCTCCATCTTTCTTGCTAGTTGGTTGAAAACATTGTTGGTTGATCGGTAAACTGCTGTTTCAATCGATTTCTCAATGCATGTCAATTCATCAAATACAAGTTGGATAACTCATGATGTTGGAAAAAAAGAGGACAATGCTTATAGATAATATACTTAACAGCCCTTTTTATGAAATACAATTGAGTTATATTTATTTGATGATCAATCAACTGATAGAGGTGGTCTGGCTCTTATCAGAAATATTATAGTACATCTTTATATAAACATTAGGCAGAACAATGCAAAACGAAAAGTGGCAGTCCGATATAAAAATTATCTACGTGAAAAAAGAAATGTCAGGATTTGCATGATTTATAGCATCCTAAAGTCAGATTAAACCAGCCTTGCCATTTTGTAGTTTAATGACACACTTACTTTTATAGCCCAAAAACTCGCCCCAACAACGTTATTCCAAAGCTTGTTATCTTCACTGTACGAGACGTAGAATTTCTTCACAAAGTGGGGTACGGGTGTATCAAGACCTACAAAACATTAGACAAAAGATTCATTTTTTTCATGATTTCAGGGAACAAGACAAGTAGCACATTTATCATATCAGCAATAAAAATAACAAATTTTTCCACGAACTTCGTGATTAGAAAATTAAATTAAAAAATGAGAAGAAATGCTTCAGTTGGGCAAGCCTGGTTGATTTAAAAATTTCCGAATCAGTTCTAGTTCCGAATGAAAATCTGAGGCTTGATTTTTAAGCACCAATGGAGATAAATAGAACCTTCTGTCTATTCTTATCGTATGAGCTGCATTTATTTTCAAGCTAGTGTTCTTTTAGGAACTGCCTAAATATTTGATGTTTTTATATTAGCTTATAACAAGCAACGCGAAAAAACGTAGGACCTTTTCGTTGCCTTAAACTATAAACAATTTTCTAAAAATTATCTCGTTTGTTGTACTCTTTCACACTTCTTTTTCCTTTTTTCCACCTTTGCTCAAAAGTAAACATAATAAAAGTTTTCATGGTATCATTGTTGCGTATATACGATTTCATAAGGGCGGTAACATATAATTATGGCGGATTCCGCTATAAACAAAGTCCCTGCGTCAGTTTCTCTCGGTGCCCTGTGGTTACTTTGCGCATGGCAAGTACGTTTTTCCTATCTGTTATGAAGCTGGATTTTAAAGTTTGAGCCCAGCGCTATTGATGTTAAGATTAATTTGAGAAGATTAATTTTCTTAAACATAAAGGCAATTTCCATAGTTCGCAAGATAACTTCGATGAAAGTTTAGTGTCGATCGAGAGGTAAATTTCTTAATTGCTTGAGTAATTACATATACCCTACAAGGTATCTTATTGAGTTTTTGCGCAAGCTATTCGATCTGTGGATTATGCTTAGGCAGCCATAAAAACAACTTAATCTTGGGAATCATAATACAGAAGGTTGCTACGACGTAGCTGAAACTTCTACATGCATATCACAGAGAGTAACATTTGTTATAATTAATCTCAACTGAGCAGTCGTCTAAAAAGCAACTTTT